TGCACACTAACATTGAAAAAGTAAAAAACAAAATTATAAAAAACAAAAAAAAGAAAGAAATGCACATGCTGAGGACTGAAAATACAAAAAAAAAATGGCAAAAAACAGGTTGTGAAGTAGAATGGAGAAGAATAATATTCTAGGATGTAACATCAAAAAATATCTTTTTACCATAGTTACAATACTAATTTAGATGAGTATGCATTTCCTTAAAAATATCTGCACTGACAATTCGTTAATATGTAAAGACTACATGGACGGAAGAAAGAATCACAATGCTTTTTCTTACAGCATAACACTCAGTCTATAATAAACACTTAAATGAAGTACATAATCACATCCAGCAAACTAGGGAGGCTGAGGAAGGAGGTCTACAAGTTCAAAGCCAGCCTCAGCAATTTAGTGAAGCCCTAAGCAACTTAGTGAGACACTGTCTTAAAAATTAAAAAGGGCTGGCAGGGGGTATAGCTCAGTGGGGTAAAAGCACTAGGGTCCAATCACTAGTCTCCCCCAAAAGTACGTAATCCAGATCCACAATAAGTTTGCATATTCAATAAAACACCATCACCCATTCACTTGCCTATTCAACAATTATTTATTAAGCACCTATATGTGCCAAATACAAAACTGAGCACTAAGAATTCAATAGTAGGCAAGACAGGACAGTCTTCATGGAGCTTATAACGGAGCAGTTTGCTCATTAACAAACATGGAACACCTACCATTATTATTAAATTTTAGAAGTAAATATAAAACTTTTTTGCATTAAACTGGACAAATGAGTTCAATTATTTGTTCCTAAACAATAATAATTACATGTGTTAGCTTTAAAAAATCTTTCAGTTTTTCAATCAGCTATTTTAACTGTTAATTCTGGGTACCACATTTGAAGTAGGACATTTAACTAATACATAATGTATTGTAAAAAAAAAAAAATCTGAACCACAGCTTAAGAAAAGTTTTATGGCTCAGTTTTAAAAAACTAGTTTGCACTGTACCATTCCAAAGTTACATGGACATGGATTTCTATTTCATATGAACAATTCTAACAATTCAAGCTATTCAATAATAATTCAACCATCTTAGATTTCCATGGGGCTGTTTACAAAAAAAGTTTTTCACTTGCTCCTTAAAAAGCCAAAAACAAAAAACATTTCCCCATTACAGTTTAGTACACTCAGTCTTCAAAAGTCTTGCTAAAGAACTAGCCAAACCAGTGCCAGAACTCAAGTCCAAAATGTAATGGAACAGGCTGACTCAAAGGAATGTATTTCCTACCTCTAAATGTACTCAAGTACACACCAAATGGTCAACTGTCAGGAATGTTGGCCAAGATATTCAAAAGCTTATTCCAAACCCAATTCTTTAGAAATATTGGTGGTCAATACATGCACCATGAAATGATTCAGTAATGAATATTCCTTTAAAATGTAAGCTCCATGAGGGCAATGACTTTGTCTTTCTCCCCTTCTATATTCCAGTCACTAAAACAGTACTGAGCACGTGTTCTGGTACTTGCAAAATATAGATAAACCTAATCATATAAACCATTACTAAATAAAATACGTACAGTATTATACAAAATAAGGCCTTACTAACGCATCTAGCAACTGAAAATTTTAAAAATACAAAATCATTCTTTTGCACAGTCCAGTCCATCCAGGAGGCTGGGACAGGGGGATTAAAGTTTGAGGCCTGCCTGGGCAACTTAGCAAAACCATCTCAAAATAAAATTTTGAAAAGGGTTAGGAATACAGGTTAGTAGTAGTGTACTCTGCATCCATTTCCCAATACTGTGAAAATAAATAATTCAAAAAATGAAAAAATGTTTAGTCTATTCCTAAAATGACATCACATAATTAAAATCATTAACTGAAATCCTGAAACTTACCCTATTCAGTTAACAAAACAAATCCAACTGTGAAAATGCGAACCATTTGCCAAATCTAAAATACTATAATAAACAGTAAAATATAAAGCTTCATATAATGAACAAAAAAGTAAAGAAACAATAAAAGATATAATTGCTAAATTTGTTGAAAAAGTTGTCAATGAAGATGTTCTTTTTTTTTTCCCTTTGGTAGTTATAGAGATGCCTTTATTTTGTTTCATTTTTATGTGGTGCTGCCTTGAACATGGTAAACAAGTGTTCTGCCACTGAGCTACAGCCCCAGCCTTCAAGGAAGATATTCTTAAGCTATCAACAGGCCACGTTAAGTATTCAAACACTGTAAGAATAAAKAAATTTTTGTAGATCTTTTGATTTAAAGACAAATTCACGTTCAGATTTCTACTCTCATCACATCCTTATAAACACTTATGATGTTGACACTTCAAAGAGATCTGCAAATTTTACAGATACACAGATTGTATTGAGTTAGATTCCACATACCTCATACTTGATGTACTTAGTACCCACCTGGGTTTACTGAAAACTAAAAACAATAGGAAAATAACAGCAATCCAAATGTTATTTTTGCAATACCTTAAATCATAGGGCCTACAATTTCCAAATAGCTTAAACTAAGAATCACAAAACCTACAAAATATTCAAAAAGGTTTTAATTCACTTGGCTTAGTGGCTAAGCATATGTCAATACACCTTTTTTTTTTTTTTTTTTGGAGAATACTATTGCATCACCAGACAGAATAGCTACATAAAAGTTTTACTCCAATTTAAAGATTAAATTATAACCCTTTAAATTTTTCTGAACAAAGATCCTGATACTTAAAGGCCTAGTTAACTTTACAGTAAGCAATTTCAGGTTTATATGGTAGGCAAATGTTCTAATCCATTCACTTGTTTACACTGGGTTACACTACCTAGATTTATAACGTTATTGGCAATTGAGAGTGATCACAAACCAACAGAGAAACCACAACCTTGTCGTTTTCTACTTCTTAAAATGACGACTTTGAAAGATCACATAAAAAGCTATACCCACACAATATCACAAAATAAATTATTTTCAGAATTTATTACTATCAACTTCCACTTAAACATCTCACATAGTAAAAGGATAAACTTTATAGAAAAGCTGCTTTTCCCWATCCCTGAATATTACAAAATATTTGCAATCTATTTCTAATTCTGACATCATCACCCGATTGTGATTAGCTTTTGGTCCCTAAACTGCAGTCCACTCCTAATCGCCATCAGTGAAACGTCTTCTTACYGAGCTTTCAAAATTAAAACAATTTAAATTAACTGGGCTGGAGAAGGTAAGAGCTTTTCAGAAATACCTGTTAATATGTTAAAGCAACAAGTCTAAAACTCTGAACTCTTAGAAATCTTCACCGCCAGAACAGAAAAGCTCCATTCGCCCGGTTGCCTAGTCCCTCTCACCTCCTAAAAAGTGTCATGTGCGCGCGAATCGCCTACCCCTAATAGATGTCCCACCCCAGGTGGTATTCTCTACTCTAGGCTCTGGACTCGGTGGTTTTAAGGGGTCTCATATCACTTTCCCTGACTCCTGGGATTTCCGCCAGCGAAGCCAAAGCAAAGGACAGGGGGGCGGGACTCACCTGAGCACTGGGCTGTAGGGGCTGCGGGAGCGGCGCCAGCTGCTACTGCTGTAGGGACTGGGGGACACGTCGCCACCCCGCTCGTAGGAGCTGTGGCGGCTGTAGCTGGGGGAACGGCGGCGGCTGTAGGGGCTCGGGGAGCGCGGCAGCCGCCGAGAATAGGGGCTGCTGCCACCTCCTGCCGGGCTGGGGGACTTTCGGCTCCTCATGCTCTGCGAGGCCCTGTGGGACACCGGGCTGTCGTCCCGGCCGCCCAGCGGGCTCAGGGACCGCTGCCGCCGCCTGTAGGCCTTGGGCTCGGTCTTGTCCTCCCGGTAGGCCTTGGGCGGCTCCTTGTAGGCCGAAGGCGGCTCCTTAGACGACTTAGTCCGGCTCCGGTGGGCCTTCAAGTCTCGGTCCTTGCGGCTGCTGCTGCTGCTGGACGTGGCCGAGGCGCTTTTCCGGCGGCCACCACTGCTGCTGCTGCTGCCGCTCTTGGCGGCCTCGACACGCTCCTCGCCACTGTGGCTGTGGCGGCTGCGGGACTTGGAGGCCTCGCTGCCGCCGCGCTGCCCATCTCGTCGCCGGTGCTCGCGATGGCGCTCTTTGCTGCGGCCGCTACTGCTGCGGCGTTCCCGGCGGGGCCTGCGCTCCGACCCCTCCCCGCGCCGCTGGGTGCCGGAGGAGGAGGCCGGACTCCCGCCGCTGCCCCCCGTTCCCCCGGCAGCCGTCGCCGCCGTTGCCGCGCTGGCCCCCCCCAGCAGCAGCCCCTGCTCGGACTGGGAGCTCACATCCTCATATTCCACCAGCGGGGTCACACCCCCGCCGCTACTAGCACCGCCACCGCCGTCCTGCTGCGGCTGGGGCAGCGAGAAGACCCGACGCTTCTCCGCCTCCTGCCCGGCGCGGGGCCCGCGGCGCCGCTTCTGCCGCCCTCCTGCGCGCCTCTTGCCTCTCGCCAGCCGCTTGACCTCCAGAGGGGGGCCCGGGCTGAAGCAAGAGGAGGAGGCCGCGGCGGCGGCGGCTGCGGCGGCGGCCGTGCCGGGGGCAGCCAGGAAGAGCAGAGGCGGCGGGGGCGGCGGCGGTTGCAGGAGCTGCGGCTGCAGGAGCGGCAACAGCAGCGGCGGCTGCTGAGGGGACAGGAATCTCCTCCGCTTGCGGCGTTCCTCCAACTTCTTCTCCGCCCAGCTCAGGCCCCCGCCTCCCCCCAGCGCCGTGTCCGAGCTGCTCGGCATCGCCTAGAGCCCGCCGCAGAGCGCGGCGCGGGTGCGGCCTCCTCCCGGGTCAGATCTTGGCCATCGCCCCCTCCGGAAACGGGAACGGCGGCGGAGGGACACTGAGCACCAGGGCCGGCAGGGAGACGCGCCACGATAATCCGGGTCGGGACTCGGGTCCCTAGGTTCCAGGTCACAGTGGGGTACGCAGAGGCCTCCGGGCCTGAGGAAAGCAGGAATCCGAAGGGTAGAGCTTCTCGATCGCCTTCGTCGTCCTATCCTCGGCAGCAAAAACACCAAATGCGCCGGGCGCTGGCCCGCAGGGGAGTCCGGAGTCCTCCAAGTGCCCCCGGGGGTGGGGGAGCGGCCTCCGCCGCGCTCTCGGCTCCGGGAGYGCAACGCGGAAGTACCACCTTCGTCGCCGCTTCACTCCATCGCGCCTTGACGTTAGGAGCGAGTTCAGGGGAGGGGAGTGGGCGAGACAACAACACGCCTCCGCCGCCTGCTCCTCCGCGTCGACGTCGTCCTCCTGTGGTGGCGGCGACACCCCGCGGTCGCCTCGGAAGTGGCCTGGGCCTGACAACAAGTCCCGGCCTAAGGCCTCGCGCACTCTTGCGGCCCGCGGGGACGGGCGCCGGGGCGGGGCGAGGCGGGGGCGACCGGGCTGCGGCTCACGGTTGGGGCGGCAAGTGTGTGGGTCTGGGCGGGGGGTTGTTTCCGGGGAGATGGGGGTGGGGGGCGTTTCTGAGTCAGTGGCTGTGGGTACGGGCCTTGACTTTCTTCTTCCTTCGCCACCACCAACAGAAGCAGCGGAGCTGTCCCTTTCCTTCTCTCCCCCCCCACTCCACGAGGAAGCTCTGGGTGTGCAGCTGCCGACCCCGATTCGCTCCTCCCCTTCCCTCTGCGCTCCTCGTCAGGAGGAGGGCTACGGGACTTGGTGGTGGGGCCCTAACCTCCACAACCCCTCCTTCTCGCCTTGCTCTCTCGGCTTTTCCCCTCAGCCCAGACGCAAATCCGGGAGCGCGCACGCACGTCACGCTCCGACAAAGCTGAAGGTGAGTGGCGGCGAGGGCAGGGGAGGCGGGAACAAAGTTGCCGCGCACTGGCGTACTCGCTCCCGCCAGGGTCCGCCTTTCCGCACCGGAAGTGGCGTAAAGCAGAAACCTTTGCTTCCGGTAAGGGTGGGACTTTGTGAAGAAGGGTTAAAGAAAGGAGAGGAGTCGTGCTCCTCCCACTGCTGTCGCTTGAGGCTCTCCCAGTGGTGGCACGCCCATCATGCCTGTTGCTTTGAGTCCTGGGCGAATTGCCGSCTTCGGCCCTGATTCTCCGCAGACGCCTCACTGCCTGTCTGTTAAGTGAAAGGTCATGGAGCGAACAAGCATCTCCTGGATTCTGGGAGGAATAATGTGTTTTTAGTTGGAGGATGACCTACTAAATCACCCCGTTTTCAGCCTTCAGCCAAGCCCGGGATGGGAACAACTGCAACCCGCAAAAGAGGACAGAGATGACCTTAGGTTAACTACTCTCACGTACTCCCAAATTTCAGGATCTATCTTAACCTAAAAATACACTTACTAATCACAGCCTCGAAGATCGGTGACATTAAAATTTACTTAAGAAAAAAACTAAGTCGATTTAGGGGATAAATGGAATGTCAAGAGAGACTACTGAAAAAAATCCCAGAATTTTCCGAGGGCCTTAAATAAAATATCTTGTAAAAATCAGGGCCATCCTCCTAGTTCTTCACCCACTTTCACTTTAATATTTAAAGCTATAGGGCTTCCAAACACAACCATGTAATGACCTCACATCGCATTTCTTGTTTTAGTAGGATTGCCCTTCAATTATAGGCTGGGTACTCAGGATAATTAGATTAAAATTTAAATGGCTTATTGGCTTTTAGTATGGAAAACTAAATAGTCTGTTCAAGAACTATACGTAGTCATCCCTTTGCAAGTTTATATGTTCAGATCATCAGTTAATTCTTGGTTCTTTTTTTTTAAATAATTTTGTTTTTTGTTTTAGGTGGACACAATATTTTTATGTGGAGGATCGAACCCAGTGCCTCGCACATGTCGGGCCAGCGCACTACCATTTGAGCCGCATCCCCACCCCTTAATTCTTGGTTCTTAAACACTTGGTAACTCTCCAACATTCATGGTACAAATAATTTTAATCAGCTTGATGTCACTTTATCACAGATTGGACTGAATCTAAAATAAGACTTCACTGACAGAATACAAAGGGTGTTTGTTTGCTAAAGGATAAAGGAAAGGGAATATAGGTAATCAAGTCAGAGTATTTCCCACATGACGTCCACACAGTGGGACCTGTGCAACCAGAAAAAAAAAATGGAAAGACATTGGGAAACTGAATAGAAAAATAGAAGATGTCTAAACCAATTTTTCCCTTGAATGTATTGCAAAATAAACATCCTACAGTCATCCTCCTACTAAAAACTATTCATCAAGTGGCTTTTTCCAAAATATACGTTCGCTCTGCCCCATCCTCCCATTTTTAAAAGCCTGAAATAATATAACAAAGAGAACACAGAAGTTTATCTARCAGTTCCCTAAATCCATAACCAGTTTCACTTGAGAGTGTTATCTATCTTATACTTTAAAAAAAACTTGATCCATAAGTGTGTAGTTCCCAATACTAAAATATTTTTAATATATTTATTTTTATGTGGTGCTGAGGATCAACCCAGGGCGTAGCACATGCTAGGTGGGTGCTCTGCCGCTGAGCCACAATCCCAACCCTTGTTTATTTATTTTTATGTAGTGCAGAGGATTGAACCCAGTGCCTCGCATGTGTGAGGCAAGTGCTCTGCCACTGAACCACAACTCCAGCCCTCTAAAATATTTTTAATGTGGTTCTGTCACCCACCTGTTTCCTCAAAGATTTTATCTTGGGAGCTGGTCCTGGTGGAGCAGCCTGAAATCCCAGCTACTTGGGAGCCTGAGGCAGGAGAATCACAAATTTGAGACCAGCCTGGGCAACTTAGCCAGATCCTATATCAAAATAAAATAAATATGGCTATAGCTCAGTGTTTACCTATAATGTTTGGGGTGTTCAATCCACCACACACACACACAAATATATATATCTTGGGAAGGGGGTTCTGTGAATAGAGCATTTTGAGCTCACTACTCAAATGTGAATTTTTAAATACTCCTAATTAATGGTATTCAAACTCCAGAAAATGGAAATGGCTTCACATTAAAGGCTAGGTGTTTCTATAAGCCTATTTTTGCCTGCATGGAAAGATTTAAATTGCCACTGGGAATATATTCTTGTATTTTGCTGTTTTTGTTTTTTGTATGTGTGTTTTTGTTTTTGTTTTGTTTTGCTTTTTAAGTGAGATGGTAAGTTTTTTACTTTCTTTGTTTATCTGATAGGTCATATCATACCATATCAGCTATTCTTAAAAGCATTCTCTGGTAGTAAGACCTTTTCAGTGGATATGCATAATTAGAACTATTTTCATAAAAATGAGAAATAGTTTCTCTTTTTTTAACTGTCATTCTCTCACAAATATATAGTAGAGTTTTCCAGGGGCATTATGATGCATGATGACATCATCATTCTGATAGTAAGTGAATGTGTGCTTGTGATGTCATATTTTTTCTAGAATATTCTAACATATTTAGTTTCTAAAATGCATAAACATTTGGAATATCTGCATAAGTCAGTGAATCAGTATTTTCCAAATGAACAATTGATGATGTTACAAAATGAGTAAAAAGATTCATTGAAAGTGCAAGATGGACATGGGGTTTCATGTAGCAAAGTACAAAAAGATCATTGACATTTCATATTTCACTTGTAAGGAACCTATAAGAAATTACCATGCTGTTTTGTTATATTATCAGAGAATAACCATAGTTATCTAGAAAAGCTATTAAAATACTCCTCCCTTTTGCAACAACATTTCTTATTCATGTATTTCCACCAAAACCACATATTGCAACAAATAGCATAAAAAGGCAGATCTGAGGATCTAGTTTCAGTTACATTAAACTAGGCAATAAAGAAATTTGCAGAAAAGTAAAATAATAAGCTAAATATCTAAATATTTTGTTTTCATTGAAATGGGTTAAATTATAATGTGGCCATTGTTATTTTAAATAAATGAATGCTTTTTTAATTTTCTCAATTTTTATTTCTAATATAGTAAATATTGGTAAATATGACTCATGCACAAAAATTTTTTTGCAGTCCTCACAATTTTTTAAAACTAAATGACCTCAGACCAAATGCTATATAAATCATAAAATATTATGATTTTTCCCTTAATGCTTTTAATAGTAAAAACAGTCCATAACGTTAAGAACATATAAGTCACACACTATCATTACAAAATCTTATAACTAGGAACTTTGGCAGTGTCTGCCAATATTGTTCCCTTTAGAGGAGTTGGTCGTTTGACTTACAATTAAGATTTTCCTCAACCTTGAAAAAATTTTAAACTCTCATTTGAGCCCTCTATTCTCTCATAAAAAAGCATGTCAGATGTTAAAAGAAGATCGTGTTCAGACAATGGAACTTTTCAATTTAGTAATTAAAACTAAGACTGGCTAATATTTACTGAACACTTATCATGTTTCAGACTCTGTGCTAACTGCTGTATTTTCTCATTTAATCTTCTCAAAAGAACAATACTTTKGGGTTTGCCTGGAGTGGTCCTGGTTTATGCCACTTGTTCAAGCATAATAATAATGCTCCTTTCAATGACATAAATTTCCCAGTTTAGACATAAATTATGTGATGACTGTACTGTAAAAATTATTATGAGTTTACAAATGAGGGAAGTAAGGCAGAGAGAGATTGGCCCAAACTAAACTTCTGGTARGTTGGATCTGAGATCCTAAGCCTGGTCTGTCTGGCTTTGAATCCATGCTTTTAAGAATACAAGTTGTTTCACAGTGATATTAGTGCTCCTGAGCTTTATACTGAATACAATTACGGTAATATATTCCTGATGTAAAATAAGAAAGTATAGCTGGACACAGTAGCACACACCTATAATCCCAACAATTTGGGAGCCTGAAGCAGAAAGATCACAGGGTTCAGGCTAGCTTGGGCAACTTAGTCACACCCTCATTCAAAAAATGAAAAGGTCTGGGAATGTAGTTAAGTGGTAGAGCACCCATGTGTTCAATCACTATTGCCAGAAGGGAGGGAGAGGAAAAAAAGGTAGSAAGAAAAAAGGAACGGAAAGAGAGACCCAAACTACTACATTTACTCTATACAATGCACTCCATGTTATGATACAGCAAGAAAGCACTCACCAGATGATGAGCAGGTGCTGGTTCTATTCACTTGGATTTACCAGCACTGAGAACCATAAATTTATAAATACTTTATAAATCACCCAGTCTGGGGTATTCTGTTGTAATAAAAAAAAGACTAAATCAAAAATAATTTATTTAAAAATTTATAACTAGAAAGATCAGTTTCAATAGTAAAACTCTGAAGTAATAGATTTGCTTCCCCCCTGCTCATCTTTTACAAAGTTCATCATACAAGCAACATTTTGCAAGAGAGCAATGTTGCTTCTATGGGTTAGAAAATGTTTATTCTTGCTGAATCAGTAAAGCAGAAGTGTACCTGTTTATAGAACAGGAATAGTGGAGTAAACTTCCAGTTGTCTTCCTTTAAGGTATTTCCTTGTTTACAAAGGATACCAGGATTTGTTGGGGATATTAGTGTGCCTAGCTAAAAAAAAAAAAGAAAAAAAAAAACCTACATCTACCAGCATTCTTTGCAGTTGAGGAATGTGACAAGCTTGTCAAATCTTAATTGAGAGTTCTTGAATGAAGCTTTTGGAAATGCTTAAAATGGAAGGTCAGTTTAGTTACCTGTGTCTTCTTCCCTTCACCCTTACATATTTGCACCTGTAACTCAAATGCAATTCTGGAGTTTGAGGAGCCATCATGTGACTGCAAAGGAACAAACACAGGCTAAGAATGACTGTGTAAAGGAAAGATAGAAGGGCCTGCCTCCCCCAGGACATCATAGATTTAAACCAATCCCTAATGAATTGTTAATGTGTTTAAGCCATTGATTTTTTCAATTCTATTACAGCTAAATTAAATTCCTAAATATTTTGGTATAACCCCACATTTCCATCCACTTCCATGAATGGCAATACTCCTTCCCACTCATCCTAAATATAGCCTCAGAATCCTTCACACACAAAGCAAGATAGATAGTACCAGAGTTAAAATAATTTTTTATTTCCATCCCAGAATCACTTTGTGATTATGTGCTGAATTTGTTGGTCCAAAACCTTAGGATACATGCCCTAGAACAAAACTATATATGTTACAACTATAATATACTAGTTATGCCTTAGTTGTAGAGGGAAATCCATGCATTGAAGTAGGTCAAAATGTTAAAGGATCATATGTTATTGGGATAAATATTCTGTTAATGTTTAATTTTACAAGAATCTGCATATTTCTAGAAGATTGGTATTCAGGAATACTTAGAAGTTCAACTGCAGAATAAGAATATTATTAATTACATCAATTAAGAATTGGACAGAAAGTATAAGCAAACATGAACAATTCATCTATGTTTTTAAATTTCTCATAAGTAGAGTCATTAGCATCTTTAAATATATTGTTAATGAAACAGGTCACAGAAAATAATTCTTACCAGAACTTTTTTAAAAAATATTTTTAGTTGTAAATGGACACAATATCTTTATTTATTTATTTTTTATGTGGTGCTGAGAATCAAACCCAATGCCCAACACATGCTGGGCAAACACTCTACCACTGAGCCACAACCCCAGCCCCCTACCAGAACTTTTAACTGGTAATGTGAATCTTACTTACAGAACATTACAACAGGAGTATTAGAATCAACATTTAAGAATAGATTAACCTTTATATCTATAGTGAGTTGATTTTCAACAAATGTGCTGAAACAATTCACTGGGGAAGAATAGTCTTCCACAAATGGTGCTGGRACAACTAGATACCATATGCAAAAGAATGAAGTTGGACCCCAACCTGATACCATATTTAAAAAAAAATGGATCAAGGGGGCTGAGGATATAGCTCAGTTGGCCAAGCGCTTTCTAGCATGCACAAGGCCCTGGGTTCAATCCCCAGCACCACCAAAAAAAAAAAGAAAGAAATAAAAATTTTTTAAAAAATGGGTTTGAGACCTAAATGTAAGAGCTAAAATTATATAACTCAGAGAAGAAAACCTAGGAATAAATCTTTGCAACTCTGAGTTACATAAAACTTTCTCAGATAAAATGCCAAAAGCATATATGACAAAAGGAAAGGTAGAGGGGCTGGGGTTGTGGCTCAGCGGTAGAGCACTCTCTTAGCAATGCGAGGCCCTGGGTTCGATCCTCAGCACCACATAAAGATAAATAAATAAAGGTATTGTGTCCAACT